CAGCCTTGCATCTCAAATATTAATCCGAGTGAAAACTGAACTTTAGCCTGAATAGCGTGAATATGCAAATTCACAATGCGTATATGTATTAATTTTCCATTCCTAAGTAGTTTATATTATTTTACAAACTTTAAAGCGACCTCAACTCTGGTGAATGATACTGTATTGATTTTCAAGGAGAAAATATACGATGATCTCTACTGGAACTGTACTTAGCAGTTTAACCCTCGGACGTACGAGCTACCTCAAACCCCCACAGTGGTACAAAGGGGTAGTAGGGGTGGAGGGAGCCCGGCTCCCCTGGGTTTTCGTTCTGTTAAGGCACAGTTGGATAAATTTAAATTTCGTAGATAGCCCTGAGCATGTTCTACAAAATGACACCATTTTTGTATGTTATGACGTCATATGACGTAAAATGTCGTCATTTTATCCGCCATCTTCGATTTCACTATTTGTGAAAAAACGGAAATTAATAGAAAATCAAGCCAAAATGCTTATGGAAGGTAACTATACAAGTAATATGGTCAAGTGATATTGTCAGTAAGGTGCAGCTATTTTTAATTTAAAACTATGTGTATCGAGACTCTCGCCGAGATCGTGGGCCCGTTATAATTAGCTCAAAGATAGATTAAGCGGATGAAATTGATCGAATGTAGGGATATTTGATCAATTTAATTATCCGCTAAAACCTCGATTAACGTTTGCTAGAAAGCGGGGATCCCATGTTAAGCGGGGCGTTGGGGTGCTAAAGTTACCATTCTAAGACCGGCAAACAGACAAATTAGCGCTATAGTGACTTAAATAATAATTGTCATCATATCACTTTAAGTAACTTTAGTCCATGAAGAAATTTGAAAGATTTCATGCCAGATTAGCCTTAACTATCAGCACAGTGGGGGGACAATGTTCCTTTATTATTGTTCCAATCGGTGCAGCCCTGAAAGAGATCTTAACCCATTGACTCCTGGCGCTTTTCGACACAAACACATTTCTTGGGACATCTTGGAGATTTTTAGTCTGGATGTGAGCCAGGTTAGCTCCAATCTACTTAGAAAGGTATTTCCAACATGATAGCATGCCTTTCTTTCCACTAGCACCGCGTTTTACGACATTTCTGTTCGGGCATGCGCAGAAATCTACGTCTTTAGGCTTTTAAATTTTTTTCGCCTTTCCTTCTTCTCTTTTTCTCACTTTTTGCGGTAGTGATTGAACTTCTCCTGAGCTTGCTTCCAGTTCAAAAATTTCTGAGAAAGCATCATTGAGACGGGCAATTTTTACCAAGGAGTAGCTAAGTGCAGTCGTAGGAAATTTGGCTCTGAGTTTTTCACTCAAATTTCTGAGCATTTTCGTGCATATCTCAGGCTCCATTGAGCCGATCACTCTGATCTGCGTATCATTGGTCAGACCTTTTCCTTCTGCAGAACTTGAGTATATATGATGCCAATTTTGGTCTAAGGTGATGACGTCAGAAGTGGAACAAAGGCCAACGCTCGTCACGGCACAGAAACCAATGGGTTAAAGGAGAAAAATATTGGCGTTCTATTCTAACATCCTAAGTGATACCAAAATCCTCAATTTAAACCCCTTCTACAATAACGTTTGCGGAGTATACCGTTCCAGAATCCTTTAAGGATATTTGGAAATCATATTCAGAAGTTTGAAATATGAACGAAGTATTGCTACATTTACAGCTGTGACTCAAAGACTTGGTTTGTACGGATTTGTGATAGCTCTGATCACACAGCCTATATTGGGACAACTTTAAGGAAGGCCCAGATAAATAAACTAAATTAGCTAATAAGATGTTGCTTCCTTGAAGAAATTCAACACGTTTGTCAATTGTAAAATACGCCACGTTCTGTACTGTTCTTCTTCTTGTGGTTAATACTGTATAGTGTCCTGTTCTCCATTTCCATTCTGTCCTTACTAATCGCGATAAGTTGATGAAACTCTCTACTAGTGAAAGTTTAGTCTACTGCCCGAAAAAGATTTCTTCGCCAAAACGTACGCGTAGCTTTTCACACAGCCCAATCAATTTAGGCAGTCCATACCAAGCTGTATCATAACTTATCATTCTAGAGAGGTCTGAGCAAGAACAAAGATTGTAGATTCCTTTTCTTCCAAAGGAACAAGTCGACCAAGTTTAAAAAAACAACATCCTAGGTTACTTTTTAATGACCTTTAAAGGTACTGAGATGTTTGTTATAGAGATGAAAAATGAAAAAATGTTTGTGAATCAGTGAAAGTGACTTGAATGTAAATTTGCTAAGGTACTGAAAATCTGCTTCCACTATACAAGACTCAAATAAAAATCTCTATACATCAACTAAAGATTAATTCTGTTTCTTAATGTATTTGTTTTTTTCTTGTTTTTTTGTTTTTTGTTTTCCCTTGGAAAATGAAAACAATTCAATTTAAAAATTTAAGATACAGTGATCTTTCAGACCACAACGTCTTGTTCACGTCTCACTCGATGATCCAGCTCTATGAGCGAGATCTAAGAATCATCTGAAATGATAAGGGTTTCTTCCTTTCTTGTGGATTTGCGGCTTTGGCTGATGATGATTACAGCAATGATGAGCCCGATGGCAACAGTCCCCAGCACTCCGACCACCACTCCTACAATCATGACCATGCTGTCGGTGGACTCTGACCCAGAATCGTTGTGTTCCTTAGCTGTGGAGAGCAAAACGGACGTTTTATCAACTTGGATCATAAGTTAATAAGTGAAGATAGTGCAAGTGCAGCCAACCCTCTGTTTTGAATCCAGTTAATCGTGGTCCGGCCAAAAATAAACATTTCACTGTGAATAATAAGCCATCGCTCAACAGACAGAGGCTACATTTTGTAACCCCTATATCAAGACACAAGGTTTGCTTTTTAATGTTCGAATGCCTAGTATCAAAATAAGACTTCTTTCTACCACCAGGGCTACAGATGACCAAAGGCTAATGACCCTTCGTCCGAGAAATTTCACACAAACAGCGGCAGGATATCCCCCTGCACAAGGAATTTGTAACCTCCCTTTTATGGGCTAGTTCAGGTCATAAATAGGGTATAAGGAAAATCGTAGATTGTGTTCTTAAATAGGATAAGGGTTTTTACAAGCGGACCGCAAACCCCGCCCAATTTTTCTGGGAGTGCCCCCACCCCGTCCCCCGGTTTGTGACTAAGGGTAACAGCAAATAAATTAATTAGAGTATGGAAAAATTGAATTCGCAGATTACTTCATCAGATTCCAAGGCTTAGCAACCCCCTTCCAGGGACTCGACGAAATAATAACAACCAAACTATCCGATGCTTCAATTTTAAATAAATTAAAACTGGTTCTCACCACGTTAGTATAGTTCGTCGCTCGCTGACTTCGCGCAACCACAATAATACACTGGTATAATAGCTTATGACGGAACCATTTTTGATTTAAGTCGGAGCAGTTTTTATATATCAATATAAGCTTCATGAAATGAAGAAACTTTTCAACCACGGTAAATTAGGCAGCTTTTTTGATGGTATGTTAAGCTTTAAGTGTCAACGTGTCATCGGGAAAAAACTTACCATCCTCGTTGCCAGTCATGAACTTGGACTTTAAAGGTCCAACATACAAATCAGCACTCATCTCTTCCTCGGTTGATCTCCTTCTCCTCCTCTTCTCGCCACATCCCCTGTCGCATCGTGATCCAGCGTCATCTGTGCGGCAAACCGTCAACTTGCAGTGGATGTACACATCACCGTGCCTTTCTTCGAAGCGAAAAGCGGCAAGATTGAAAAACTGCTCGGCTTTTTTTTCGTACTGGTATTCCAAGGTGTTATCCCGCGAGCAACTGGAGAATGGAACACAGCAATATAAAAATTAAAATTATCCATCTCAAACAATGTATGGGGCATGGATAGGTCTATCATAGCCATGAAAAATGGTTTCACAGAAAGAAAAAGAAAAACACAAGGTTAAATTACCTATAATGGAGTAATAAGATGAAGTAACAGAAGAAATTGATGCAACCTTATATTTTGTGGGTTACCGCCTAGCAACATTCTTTCAACTTTACCCACAAACCCTGTGCATATGGAGTTTTTCTTCTCTATTTATCTTTTATCTCTTCGAAAACAAGAAGTCGATCCTGCACTTTGTAGCCTTTTTGTTCGAATAATGGACACCAAAGAAAGAATATTGCTAATCAGATTTACCTCTCGTGAAATTTCCTCTGCAGTTCTTATCAGTGTGTCAAGTGCGGCCGAAATTTAAGAGGTATTGTATAAAACAATGATTTGGTCATACACCCCCCAGAGGTCATATATTTGTTTAATATGCTATCTATAGCAATAGTAACTTACGCGTCTTCAATGATAAGATGGACGGGAGTGGAATCGAAGCTCGACGATGCTGTGGCTTTGCAGACATCCGGGAACACAACCAATTCCGAGTCACCAGACTCCACTCGGAAACCAAAGTACATCCTCTGACCCAGACCAACCGCCTTTGGAA